TGATGAAAATGTGCAGCCACCCTCACTGAACTGCTCAGGACTGGTATACCACTTCTTCTCCAAATTAAAGCTCATGGAAGTCAGCAATGGTTTTGGCATAATGGATAGTTGAGGCAATCTAAACTTGTTCGAGTTGTTAAGTTCTGTCTTGAGGCAATCCTCTTCATTTGACTCATCTCCATAGCCTTGTGCAGCATTTAATTTAGTGTTTGTGCAAGCAGATTTATGGCCTGTAATGAAGGGGTATTGAGGCCACTTCCTATTCACGTGGGTGTCTTCACTAAGTTTTTGCTTCTTTACACAGGGATCGATCAAGGAAGAAATGCTTTTTCCAGATGAACTCCTCTCTTTCTGATTATGCTCCACCTGAGGAACACCTCGATCAATCACATTTTCAGTGAACTGAGTGCGTACAGATGCTCCAATATATACAACTTGGTTTGAGTGCAACAATTTAAAGGAAGATGGACGCAAGTCTTGTAAGATAATTCCTTGAGAGTGAGCAAAATCCACCAAATCCAGAACTTGTTTGAAAATATACAAGCCTTCAGCTTTGTTCAATTTATTTCCCCCAGCTTTCAGCCGTTCTCTTAAACCTATCCCATCTTGATAGACATTGGGATTAACACTGCAGCCCATTTCAGAGATACCCTGACAAGGTGAAACAAATGCATCCACACTTGCAATGGTGGAAGAAGCATTAGGACACTGCGGATAAATCTGGCCTTGAGACTCACTAGCAGATACTCGGGGTAACTGCTTTTTGCATATGATTCCTTTGCCTTTTAATGTGCTTTTCACAATATACTCAGAAAAACCCGACTTAGAAAAAATCTTCGTCCGGATACCCTCAGAAGAGGGTAATAAATTGTTCGAAACAGCTTTATCACCATTATTCTGCAAATTTTCTCCGTCTAGATTACGAATTTCATTCAATTTTTTCTGATTCTGATTCAGAAGTCCGGTAAATAATGTGTCTCCCTCTTCCCCATGTGAGCTTCCGCATGCAGATCCACCTGCTAGCTTATAAAACCACTGGTTTGGCCTAACCTGCATTATTTCTTTATTGCCCAAGGTATCAACAACAGCCAAGTTTTTCCCATTGTAGTTTCTCAGAGTCAATTCTTCAACCATGACCCCAGCATCATTCATACAACGAGGGCTAGCACTTGCATGTTCTGAAGATCCAATTCTGTCCAGATTCTTACCATCGAGGATATCTGTAAACAAATTGGCAGTATTTTGGTAATGATCACCTTCACTAAGTGTGACCACTTCATGTGATTGCAGCATATTGGAGTTTCCGGACCTCAAAGTATAGTCACTCTCCTTACTTCGAAGTTGTCTACCATCAAAGGCATCCAGTCCATTCACCTCATCACCAATAGCTTCATCAACAGTTTCTTCCATAATGTCAATATGTTCTAGTTTAATCTAAATAAAGCTGCAAATCAGACCTTGTCAAGGAACAGAAAATACTTACATCATATAATAAAATAGTGAATTAATGATAACTCAAGACAAAAGGTAAAATTAGAATAAGACTGCAAAAATATTTTCCTTTTTCTTTTGTTTGTCAAAAGGTGATTACATGTATGCCGTTATACTTTAGTTCAATATGGATCAGATTTTTCAGAGAAACTTCTTTTAGACGAAAAGACAGAAGGAAACCACTAACAGAAACCGCTACCAGAAGACCTACACCCCCTGCCAGAACCCATCCCCTGACTGCCCCACTAAACTGCAGATCATTAAAACAATCGCTGGACCAGTGGCATTGTGGCGCTACACCAGATCAAGTTTTGGTCAAATTATTGATCATGAGATTACATGTGCATCATCAGATTGCTTCCACCAAGAAACATCACTTATCCACCAAATAGACCACCTTAAAATGATGCATTATTTCCATTTTATCAAAAACTGAAGCATATGTTGAGAGTCGTGCAATCAAATGAGCACACATATGATGTGAAATTCGAAGGGTGACTTTTAAAATGGCAACCCAAAAGAAACCTTTTCCTGACTTTTTTCATCGAGAATCTAAAACGCATAAGTGGTAGGCAAGATTGTTACCATACGCAAAAAGGAGACTCATAGAGTTGCAGCGGCAAATAGAGCTACTAGTGGGCCCCAAATAATTCCGTGTCAGCGAATACGCTTCCTTGATTCTACAAGTCACAGAGTAGCTGTATGTTTTTAGGGTGTTGCTAGTAGAATTGGAATGAAATTTGAGGGCATTGTTAAATCAGGGTGTCTGCTTTAGTATTATTTGTTTATTTATGTTTCTCTAGTTTGTAATTGGACATTTTTCTCCACCTTAACAACACAACCCATTACCTATACAAACTTTAGTTTCTTTTCCAATTCTTCTAAAAGCTAGTTCAGGATTTCCATTAGCAAGTTACACTTCTATATTTCTTTGTCAAAAGTTGAGTAGGAAACTAAGCCCAAAGCCTTTCCATTAAGCCAACATAAAGAAATTATTAAATCAATTTCATCACGCTGATCAAGAATAACAAGCAACGAGCACATCTAAGCGGATTTTTTTGACAACCGAGAAATCTCTGAGAGCCTGTGGCACACAGTTTGAAGCTCGGTGGATAATGGGCTTATCCGTCTACCCTTCTCCACTTAAATACCAGGCTTTTGTCTACGACAGGTTTCAAACCCATGACGTGCACCCAACCCACAAATTTAAGCTGGGAATTGACCCCGAACACCCTAATTCTTATTTTTTCTATTAAGCACACACTCCACATCAACAACATAGAAAATTGTATACACACTTCATATCAGCAAAACTATTGTCATATTAGCAAGCTTATCCAATACCTCAACACCCAAAATAGCCGAGTAGCTTATTAACACTGTATCAATCAACTAATCCTTATTCAAAATTAGTAGGATTTTACCCTATAAACCCTCTATATCCATTCCACCACACATAAACATCTCATCCACTCTAATACTACTAAAACAAATTTCCTTCTAAGGCAAATCAGGTTAGCTAATTAACAACAAAGAGCAAAATTCAATTTTTTTTCTTTTCTAATTTTCTTTTCCACCGCCACAAAACAATTAACTACAAACAGTTCAATACACAACACATGCATTCATTTTACGGGTATTCAACAAAAAAAAACTATAAAAATGAAATTGAAGTGCTAAAACGAATGAATCAATTGAAATAATTAGCACTAAAAACTTACGAACTTGTGACGGCGAAACAATTCATCATTTCGAAACTTAAAAAAACTTCCCTTTTAAGGCAAATTTAGGTTAGCTAGTTAACAACAAAGAGCAAAATTCAATTTTTTTCTCAAATTTCTTTTCCGCTGCGACAAAACAATAAAGTACGAACAATTCAATTCACAACACATGCATTCACTTTACGGTACTCAATTGAAGTAATAAAACGAATAATTAGTTGAAATAAATTTGCATTAAAACTTACGAATTTGCGACGGCGAAACGGAGAATCGACAGTGAGCAGAGAGAGTACGAAGCTAAGATTAAAAAGAAGTGGTGGATTTTGTGAGCCATGGAAAAAAAAAGAAAGGGCTTAAAAGGGAGCTTGTTTTGTTTATAAAGATTGTGTGAAAGAGAAAGAGAAAGAGAAGGGAAAGAGGGATAGACTTACCGGACATTACCTGAAATGACATAAGTATCTCCTGCATCTTATTGGTTGCTTTCAATTTTTTACTCTCGATAATTACTAACCACTAATTAAATGTTTTATATGTTTAAGATTGAGTTTTATATGTTTAAGAGTAAAATATATAATATGTTAGATTACTTAAAATGTATAATACTCCATTTGTTTCAATTTATGTGAACTTATTTCCTTTTTATTCCATACTAAAAAGAATGACTCATTTACTTATTTGAAAATAATTTATTTTTATGCAATGATTTATAACCGCACAAAATATATCTGACTCATTTCACACCACAAGTTTAAAAGTTTTCTCTCTTTTCTTAAACTCCGTGCTCAGTCAAATGGATTCACATAAATTGAAACAGAGGGAGTATGATGTAATGTTTTTGCAAAGTTGGAGCAACGGTAAATTTGTCTCTGTGTGACTTATAGGTCACGGGTTCGAGGCGTAAAATCAGTCGTTGATGTTTGCATCAGAATAGGCTGTCTACATCACCTCCTTTGGGTGCGGCCCTTCCCGGACCATGTGTGAACGCAAAATGCTTCGTGCACCGGATATTAATTGTACTCATAATTTTTATTTAATTTATATACGATGACAATATAAGGATTTTTAGATAACGAGTATAATCTAACTAGTTATAACCAACTTATTAATTGACTCTTACTTTAGTTTTTTAAAAAATGATGCTTTTTTAGCATTACATGTAATAGATTTAAAAAGTAAAAATTATAAACTTATGTTATAAATATATTATATTATGGATGTTCATTTAGTACTCCATTGTAAATAAACTTCCTGAAATATGTTTATCTATTTAGTACTTTATTGGAAATAAGCCTCCTGAAGAAGCTTATCCTTTCGGTACACCATTATGGATAAATATTATCCCGGTAGAAGATTATCTATATCTGGTACAATAAGCTTATCCTTTCGGTACTCCGTTATGGATAAATATTACCCTCGATAGAAGATTATCTATATCTGGTATAATAGCAGCTTACACAACAGCTTGCAGTAGCAGTTTACAGTAGCAGCTTACACATCAACTTGCAGTAGCAGCTTACACATCAGCTTGCAGTAGCAACTTACACATCAACTTCCTTTATTCTATAAATAGAGTAGATTTCAGTTCATTATGTACATCAGTTTGAAGTTGAATAATATATCAGTCTCTCTCTATACTTGTCTTTACTTTACAGTCTTTATTTTATAACACGTTATCAGCACGAGACTCTGCCATCTCGAGCAAACACTTTGAAAGTATCAGAGGTACGAATTTTCTTTTTCTAAATAATGTCAAATCTTTCTAAACTTGAATTTGTAGCCTTGGATATATCGGGCAAAAGCTACATGTCTTGGGTGTTTGATGCTGAAATTCATCTTGATGCGATGGGTCTGGCAGACTCCATCAAGGACAAAAATCAGGCATCAAACCAAGACCGTGCCAAAGCAATGATATTCTTACCGTGCCAAAATAATGATATTCTTACGCCATCACCTTGATGAGGGCTTGAAAATAGAATATCTTACTGATAAAGATCCAGTCATACTGTGGAATAATTTGAAAGATAGATATGACCACCTGAAGATGGTCGTTCTTCCACATGCACAATATGATTGAACTCATTTAAGGCTACAAGATTTTAAATATATCAGTGAGTATAGTTCTGCTATGTTCAGAATTATTTTCCAATTGAAATTATGTGGTGATTATATTACTGATCATGATATGTTGGAGAAAACTTTTACCACTTTTTATACCTCGAATATGCTCCTGCAGCATCAATATCTAGAAATGGGATTCAGAAAATACTATAAACTTATCTCACATCTTCTAATAGCCGAGCAACATAATGGGCTATTAATGAAAAACCATGAAAGTCGACCTACTGATTCTTGTCCATTTCCTGAAGTGAATGAGATGAACTTCCACCAAGCTAAGCGTGGAAGAGGTCGTGTCCCCAGTCGTGGTCATGATCGTGATCGGGGAAGAAACTATAATCTTGGTAATAATAATGCACCAAAGAACCCTCCTCACCATCAGCAGTGAAAAAGGAAGGAACAAAAGCATGAAGCGGTGCAAGCAAAAAAGGCAGAAAATGCATGTTACAGATGTGGAGAAAAAGGGCACTGGTCTTACTTTGCACTCCCGGAAGGAGAAACAAGTCATGTGATCAGTGATGAATCTATAGAAATGTAAATATTTTAATTTTTGTTGTTTGTAGTAGATAGTATATTTATGTAATTGTTGTACATAAATAAAAGTTACGTTTTGATAATGATATTTACTGTAATATATTTTTTTTATGTCATTTTAAAGAATATGGATAATCCTCAAATTATGTTTGGATCAAAGACCAATCATGAAGATATTTGTATAATTGATAGTGGAACAACTCATGCCATATTCAAATATCAGAAATACTTTTCTTATTTGCATAAGGAAAAAACAAATTCAACAATTTCTGGTAATATAAGTTTGATTGAAGGCTCCGGAAGAGCCGCTATATTTCTGTCTAAGGGAACAAAACTTATTATAGACAATGCATTATTCTCCTCCAAGTCCCGAAGAAACTTGTTGAGTTTTATAGATATCCGCAGAAATGGGTATCATGTTGAGACGATAGATAAAATAAATGTGGAATATATTTGTATTACAAAGAATATTTCTGGCCAGAAGTGCATTGTGGAAAAGTTACCAACTGTATCTTCTAGCTTATACTATTCAAAGATTAGTACAGTTGAAGCAAACTCTATCGTAAACCATAAGTTTACTGATTCAAATATTTTTGTGCTTTGGCAAGGCCGTTTGGGCCATCCTGGATCAATAATGATAAAACAAATTTTCCACAATTAGGAGGAGAGAAAAAGGAAATCAAAAGAGAAATTGTGTGAAAAGTTCCATCATTATTTTATTTTGATCAACGTACCCCTATATATAATCAGGAGGTCCAGAAAATCATCCATTTACAAAATATAGCAAATCAAATGCCAGACGCATTTACTGATTTGAAAAGGATAACTAAGTCACATATCCTTACAGAGAATGTGCCTATCCGAATTGATATCCCAGCAGGACCATCTACTAGCATGAGAGCTAGTGAACCTAAAGCATGCCTGAAGCGTGGTAGGCCTTTGGGTTCTAAGGATCGAAATCCTCGAAAAAGAAAATCAACAAATGATCAAAACGATACTATAAAGGGATCTACTGAAGAGACCCAAGATCTGATTAGTTCTGAGATTCCTGAAGAAATCAATGAACCCGAGACTCAAGTGAGTGAGAAGCTTTTAATAAGTTATACCAGTGATGGGATTAATTTAAATCGATATAAAATAGTGGTGGATAATATTTTTGCATATAATGTTTCACTTAACATTATGCAAGATGGTGAGAATCTTGAACTCCGATCTGTTGAAGAATGTCAACAAAGATCTGATTAGCCAAAATGGCAAGAGGCAATTCAATCAGAATTGAACGCACTTGCTAAAAGAGAGGTCTTTGGACCAGTAGTCCAAACACCTGCTGGTATAAAATCAGTTGGTCATAAATGGGTTTTTGTGCAAAAAAAAGAATGATAAAAATGAAATTGAAAGATACAAAGCCCGCCTTGTCGCACAAGGATTCTCACAACGACCTGGAGTAGATTTTGATGAAACATATTCACCAGTTATGGATGCCATAATATTTCGATATCTCATCAGTTTAGCACTACATGAAAAGCTTGAAATACATCTAATGGATGTAGTGACAGCTTATCTGTACGGTTCACTTGATAATGAAATTTATATGAAAATCCGTGAAGGATTTAAAATGCCTGAAGCAAATTCAAAATCTCAAAAAATGTATTCAATCAGATTACAAAGATCTTTGTATGGTTTAAAATAATTTGGGCGCATGTGGTATAATCGTCTTAGTGAATATTTGCTGAAAGAGGGTTACATAAATAATGTTATTTGTCTATGTATTTTTATAAAGAAAAATGCATCAGAATTTGTTATACTTGTTTATGTTGATGACATAAATCTTGTTGGAACTCTAGAAGAGCTCCAAAAGGCAATTGAAATATCTTAAGAAAGAATTTGAGATGAAAAATTTTGGAAAGACAAAACTTTGTCTTGGTCTGCAAATTGAACATTTAGCATACGGGATCTTTATCTATCAATCTGCCTATATAGAAAGGGTCTTAAAATGCTTTTACATGGACAAAGCACACCCATTGAGTACACCAATACCAATGGTTGTTCGAACACTTGAAGTGAATAAGGATCTGTTCCGACCTCCAGAAGAGGATGAGGAACTCCTTGGTCCCGAAATACCTCATCTTAGTGCAATTGGCGCACTTATGTATCTTGCTAATGCTACAAGGCTTGACATAACATTTTCTGTTAATTTACTAGCAAGATATAGCTCTTCTCTTACACAGAGACATTGGAACGAGATTAAGCATATATTGCGATATTTAAAAGGAACTTTTGGTATGAGTTTATTTTATTCAAACAAATGTAGTGCAAATCTTGTTGGTTATGCAGATGCAGGTTGTTTATCTGATCCACATAAAGCTCGATCTCAAATCAGATACGTGTTTACATGTGGAGGTAATGTCATATTATGGCGCTCCACAAAGCAATCTATTGTTGCTACTTCTTCAAATCATGCTGAGATAATAGCTATTCATGAAGCAAGTAGGGAATGCGTATGACTGAGATCAGTGATTCATTTTATTCAAGAAAAATATGGTTTGAAATGTGATAAAAATTCCACAATTTTATACAAAGACAATGTTGCATGCATAGCCCAATTAAAGGGAGGATTTATAAAAGGAGATAGAACGAAGTACATTTCACCAAAATTATTCTACACACATGATCTTCAGAAAAATGGTGACATTGATGTGCAACAAATCCGTTCAAGTGACAATCCGGCACATTTATTCACTAAATATTTGCCAACTTCAATTTTTGAGAAG